AACTTTGACTAATTGATCGTACATAGCACGGTCAGTTTCTTTTACTAATGATTTGAATTGACTGTAGCTATTTTGAAGTAATATGTATGGATGATCGAATTCCTGCAAATTAAAATATAGCTATTTAGTATTTGGTTAATTTCTATGTATAAAAATTTAATTATTAAATTACAATATTTAAAATTATTACAACATTTAAATTTGCCTATATTTTTTTAGAAATTAATGTATAAAAAATTTATTATTATCAATTTAAATATTGAGATAAGAAATAAATACAAAATTCTACCTACCGCCATACGACCTTTATCCATAACTAAAACCTTATCACTATCCATAATTGTATTTAATCGATGGGCAATAGTAAGTACGGTACATTTGGCAAATTTTTTTCGTATCGTATGTTGAATTAAGGCATCTGTTTGCGGATCTACATTAGCTGTCGCCTCGTCAAGCATCAGAATTTTATTGTTTCTTAAAATAGCTCTTGCCAAACAAACTAACTGTTTTTGACCAACGCTATAATTACTACCTCTATCTAAAACACGGCTTTCCAAACCTGTACCAGCAGTAACTACAGCATCCTTTAATTCTACCTTTAACATATATAATTAAAAATTTCATTTTACTCATACAAAAAAAAAAAAAAAAATAAAATTAACGTCTATGTTTCAAGTACTTACTTCTTCAAGTACTTCCCATATAGCTTTATCTGTAAATTCGTTAAAAGGATCTAAATTGCGTCTCAAGGTACCAGAAAATAAAACTGGATCTTGAGGAATAATAGATATATTACGTCGTAAATCCTCTAAACAAATAGACCCAGTGTCTATACCATCGATTTCTAAAATTCCTTCGATTTTAGCTAATCTAAACAAAGCTGCTATTAAAGAGGATTTTCCTGCTCCTGTCCTTCCCACTATACCTATCTACAAAATATTATAACTGTGTATTCTATTTTTGTCTATATTTTTCTAGAAATTAATGTATAAAAAAATATACTTTTTCTCCAGGATTAATGACAAGATTCAATCCTTTTAATACCGGAGGATCTTCCTCTACATATTTCAAATATACGCTTCTAAATTTGATCATTCCATCAATAGGCCAATTTTTTGGTGCATTAGCAGGAAGTGCAACTTGTTTTTCTGTTTTTTTAGCAAACTTTCCTCTATCGCGTAAATTCGGTTCGGGTATGACTTGCGTATATTCTAACACACGCTCCACAGACATCAATTGATTCGCGACTTCAGCATTTTGCCTCATACCCCATTGAATCATTCCAGTCATAGCCATTACTTGAGTGATAGCTAAGCCTACTTCTCCACCGGAAAATGCTATAAGATAAGAAAAATTATATTCTATTATTGTTATTTATTAAAGATTATTTTCTAGAAAAATATTAATTAAATAAAAAAATATCAATTTGAATCTTACATTGTTCCAATAACAAAAAACTGAAGGTAACTACAGATATAAAGATGAAACAAAAGACATCCAACGAAAATCCAAAAGCAGTACTCGCTGTTACGTACATATAAACAGTGGAAGTATGGACGTCTTGCAGTTTATCAAATTCTTTTTTTAATATATCTTGTGCACAATAAGCTCTTATGGTAGACAATCCATTTAAAGTAGCATTTAAATGAGTAAATACAGGTGATCGAGCTGTAAAAATAAAAATTGTAAAAATTTTTTTAATATAAAAATAATTTTCAACTTTATCAATTATTTAAATATATATTTTATAATAATTTTTAATTCTACAAAAATTTCTAAATATGAAGTTAATTAATATTGATTTAATGACGATACTTACTTATTCCTTCCATTCTCTTAATATTTTTACTAGTCTTCAAAAATACTTTTCTTATCCAATAAAATACTGTACCCAAAAATACTATAGGAATTAAGAAAAGAGGATTAATGATACACGATACTGTTAACGATCCAACCATCATCATACATATTTGACCAGCATCGAGTATAGCCTTTGGTAATAATTCATCGATAGCTCCCATATCTTTAGAAAATCTATTAAGTATTCGACCACTGGGATTGATGTCGAAAAATCTCATACCCGTTCTAATTAAAGCGCTAAAGGCCATATCATGTAATTTTTGACTGCATAATATGCATACTTTGTAAAAAGACAATGATCTGGTAATACCAATACAAAATATTCCCACAACTATAATTGTATAAATATATAGATATTTATACATTGATGAAATATCCAAGTTTTCAATCAAAGTATCATTGGTAATATTAGACTTAGCTTGTAAAAGGTAATAATGTCGCGTTTCTTCTGCACTTACTCTGAAAATGTTTTTAATTTATAAAATATAATATTTTAAAATATTTTAAATTTTAAAATAATAATTTATAATACTTACAAAATAGGAACAAAATAATCATTGAGACTGGCTATAAACTGTGTACTTATAAATAGTAGGAGTAATGTAAATGCTAAACATAAATTAGCACCAGTTTGGAAGTATTTAATGAATAGTGAACCTTTAACTGCTCCACGAGAAGTTCCTTCTAGACCATCGTTTAATCCTTGAGGATCTTCATCTTCTTCCTCATCATCTGTTCCTCCGCTACTTGCTTCTGGAGTTCGACTCTATTAAAATAAAATAATATATTTTCTATCTAAAGATTATATAGATTTAAAAAATATAATATTCTTACTCTAGTACTTGATGATGAAAATTGTCTTCTCATAGTACTCTTTTCTAAAGAACTATCTTCATTCGTTTCTGATTCTGCTGCAAGTAATTCAGCATACTCTGGTCGTTGCTTCAATAAATCTTGAAAATTAGAGAATACTGTAACTTTTCCTTGATCTATAAGTATAATAGCATCTACATTCTTCACATATTGTAACTGATGAGTAGCTAAAATCCTCGTTTTTCCAGCTAAATATCTTTGCATACATTCCTCAAATAAATGTTTACTAACATGAGTATCAACCTGAAAATTATAAATTTTTTACTCCAAATTATTTTAAAATTTAAATTATTATTTCTAAAATACTTACAGCACTTAATGGATCATCTAACAAATAAATATCTGCTTGTCTATATAAAGATCTAGCTAAATTGATTCTAGCTTTCTGTCCTCCTGATAAAGAACTGCCTCTTTCTCCAACAACTGTTTGATCACCTTGTGGAAATTGTTTGAAATCTCTTGAAAGAGAACAAGCTTTAATAACTTTCTGATATCGATGACGATCATAAGATTGTCCAAAAAGAATATTTTGTCTAATAGTTGAACCAAAAACCCAAGCTTCTTGTCCAGCATAGCTCAGACTTCCGTTTACTTTCACGTGACCTCTCGTTATATCTATTTCTCCAAGAATGGCAGAAAGAAAAGAACTTTTTCCAGCTCCAACCATACCTATTACAGCATATATCTTTCCTTTTTGCATTTCTAAATTTATACTTTCAAGAGTATTCTCAGATTGACTTGGTTCCCATTTGGCTGTTAAATTCGTCATTTTTATTGCATATATCTCTTCAATTGGCATTGAAGAATGTTTTTTTTCTATAAAAAAAAAAAAAATATTTTAAAAAAATATTTTACATTTGTATTTTATGCTATATATCAAATGTTTACCTCCCATAAGATTTGCTGTATTTTCCAACAAATCACTAGCAACAACTATTAAACCATTGTGTCTCCTTTTTTCTAAAGAATCATCCAGATTCTCATAACTATCTATTTCATCATCAATATATGGTATATCATTTTTGGAAGTTTTATTGGAAACTTGTTTAGATACACTATTAATACTACCATTAAGACTAGCAGTGAAATTATTTGAAGTATAAATATTATCTTGAAATTCTTCATACATCAAAAAATGCTGTAATCTTCTTACAGCCACTATACATTCGGCAATCTCCGCAAAACCCCGCACGAACATTCCAGACATAGTATGCGCCAAAATATTAAAATAGGAAGAAAAAACAAACACTTTATCGGCAGATAATTCATTGCCAAATAAGAGGATACTAATTAGAGTAGCATAAAGAGCCATCCTTGTAGTAAACAAGTTGAAGGTCATATAGATACCTCTAATATAGGCACTCTTAGTGACAACTTGTAATTCTAATTTACGTGCAGTTTCGATCAAAGCGCAGAATGGTTTTTCCCAGGCATACATTTTAATTACTTGAACACCTGATATAATTTCGTCCATTAAGCGAACTCTTTCGTCAGTTTTTATAGCAGTTTGTAGCCGAAATTTGGAAGACAATTTTCCTGTATATGCTAAAATATATAAATTACAAATTTATAAAAATTTATAATAATTATGAACAATAATAATTCACAATTTTTAAAGTTTATATTCTTAAATATTAATTTCAAAACCTTGAATGTGCATTTTTATTTTCGATTACTTATCATTACATCATTATATTTATATTATTATGCAAAATAAAAAATATTTCATATCATTCGAATCTTTTTTTAACAATTTAATTATTATAATATATTACGAAAAACTCACACTGAATTGGCACAACGACGGAAACTGCAGCAATACCAATTAAACCAGCATATCCAGCTTCAGTATAAAGAAAGTATGCTATGATTAACATAGAAATTGGAGCAGACCACATATGATGTATAAAGATGGAAACAAGATCAAATCTATTTACATCATTAGCCACTAAATTAACCACTTTCCCTGGAGCTGTTTCACCAAGTGCTGTTTTACTAAGTCGTAATGCCTATTATGTAAAAAAAAAAAATTATATGTTTATATTATGCATGGAAATACTATTAAAATTTTGAATTAAAATGCAATTTTATTAAACTATACTATATAGTATATATTATGTTTTATATATAAAACGAAATTTTATGAATATTTAAATTAAAATAATTTTTTCCAGGATTATTTGAACTTTTGACAAACAATTTAATAAGACAATTATTTTTTTAAATTACCTTTCGATACACTACAGAACACGTCGCAACCCTGATTTTTGCACCAATATGAAACGCACCGAAAATTGCTTGATTGAGAGTGATTACGTTTATAGCTGTTGCTATACAAATTCCAGCCGCGTATAATAATGCAGTTTCGTAAGTTTCATTCATACTCTTTTTGAAATAACGTAAAAGTCCACCCAAAAGTATTGGTGTCCCTAATCTTTAAATGAATATATGTTATAAATAGTCATATAAAAATAAAAAAACATTAAATAACATCAAAATATGTATTAAATCTAACATTTTGCACCAGGTATTTTATGAATAACATAAAATATTAATATATTTTAATTCTTTTTTTTAAATAATTTTATATTATAATTTTATATCAATAAAATTATCTTTCTAATAAAATTATCAAATGCAAATAATTCTCTAAATTATAATTGTACATGAATTATGAAAATATCGAATGCAAAGAATTGAATTGAAAAACAAAAAAATATACCGGATTATAAATTCATTTAATATTTGCATTAAACCAAGTACAGTATATTCCCACCAAAAGGTACGAAAAATTGCTCTCAATAAACTGGCTTTTCTTTTATGTTTTTTCGAATTTTCCATCTCAATTTTCCATCGCCTAAAATAGTATGTTTCATAAGTAGTTCATAAGTTTTTTTCTCATAAATTTATAGATATATTATCTAAAATATTGAATTGAATGTCGATACAAACTTTTCCAATCGATCTCCAAGCACATTCGATCGATCCGTCTTCAAAGGAGTATATAAATCATCGGTTTGCAGAATCTTTCTGTAGCCTATCTTGAATAAATCTATTGTCCACCTGCATATTATTGTAATAAATAATTTAATAATTTAACAAGTGTAATATGGAAACAAATAATTATATTAACGAATTTCTAATTGAATATTTATTCAATAATATTTTAAATAATTAATTTTTTTATAATTATCTTGAAACAATTATATAGATAATTATAGAATTACTACAGAAAAAATAATTTTATTTACAAATAATATCTATATGTGTTTAGCAATAATGAAGACATTTCGAACGTACGATTTTCATGATTCGTAAAAATAAATATACAATAGAAAAACAATTTCATTAATATTAAATCATTTTTTGTTATTATCATTGATCTTTTTGCTTGTAAATTGTGAAAACAAAACAAATTTAAATATTTAGATATAATTATATGCACTTATAAATTTGAATTTAAATATTTCAATATTAAAATATTCAAATTTAAATATTTAATAATAAATATAGTGTCTGAATTATTTATTTTTTCATAATTTTTAAATTTATACATCACTTTCTTCTTTTATTAAAACGCATTAATTTTAAACAAGTTTTAAAATGATTCTATGTTCGCATATTCAAAATAAGCTACGAATTCATTGAATTAACCTAGTTTTGAATCACGATGAAAGGATAGCAATAATAATAAAATAATAATAAAAGTTGTTGAAAATTGTTTCATATACAATAAATGAATAAAATTTAAAAAAAACTTACCACCAAAGTAACACTGAAAGTAAATTCGCTTTTTCTCGTGGATTTGGTTTCGATTTCAAATTGGTTGTGTCCATCTTCTTCTATATGCTGCATTAACCCACTGTTATTAATTCTTTAATTGCTAGCGAAAAAAATATTCAAGTATAATTCATTTTAAGCGGAAAAAAATAAGAAAATCATGAACACTCGTATTGATTTCTTAAACAAAGACGATTTTATCATTCAAGGAGCTTACATATCTACTTGAGAGTCCTCTTAACGAACAATCTGATTGCTGACTAATTGAGCAATCACTTGAAAATTGACACGACACAGACACAATAAAGGAATCTTGAGAGCAATCACTAAATTCACGTTGTCGATATTCCAAATAGATAAATCCCGTTCGATGATAGTTCAACCAAATCCACTATCCGGAATCGTTCTTTGTCTTCGCATGGAACTGTATCGTGGAGGAAAATAAAAGGTACACCTGTTGAACACCTATATTTAAGACAAAAAGAGATCATGTATCAAATCTAAATTTTTCGTATGTATCGTGTATTCTTTCCTTTTATCTTATTATTCGCTTACTCACTGTTCAAACAACGACAGGAAACTTTTAATATTTTGACACGATTTGATAGACATATAGATATAAAGGAATATTCGGTGTTATTTACTGATAATTATATTTTATAATTATTAAATATTATAATTATTATTACATGAAATCTTAACAGAATAAAATTATAAAATTATGAAGCTAATGAAACGAATAAAACCAAAATGTAGAAATCAATAAATTTGACTTATGATGAAGAAACTATGACTCAATAATATTTTCTTCATATTACGAATATATACATTAGTAAATAATCGAAAGTAGTATTAATTAATATATTTAATTATAAATTTATTATATATAAGTTATAATTTATTATATATATATTATTATATATAAGTTAGTAGTATATTATAAGTTATTTGTATCTTTAATAGGAAAATATATTTAAATTATCATTTTAATTTTTATTATTGACATTATTGCATCACATGACCTTGAATTCTTTATGTAAAATACATTGGAATTAAATTTTACAAAAGCGTAGCAATATACTTAAAATTCATCGATCGTGTTAGAATGTAATGAGTTGAGTAATTTGTAGCAACCATTGTCACGATTTTAATTCACAATTAGCTGCTGAAACATAATGTCATTTAATCAAAGAAATAAAATCTAACATACGTTGTAATATATAATATGTAATATAAAATATTACATATAAAATATGTAATATGAATATATTGCAAAAAGTTAGTGATAACATTAAAATAACAATAAAGATAACGAGTCAACATTGCTATCATTCAATTGTAAACATTATTGTTCCAATATCATAAAAATAAATGAGAAATAAAAAACATATTTAAAAAATATATATATATTTTAAATTATTTAGAAAATATTACAAATATTTTTTCAAATTATCAATCGTATGTATATAGATAAATAATAAGATAAAAATAACGTTAGTCATCTGTCATTCATGATTAAAACTATTTATTTATATTGCCATGAAATGAGATAAAATTAAAAAAATTTAAGAAATTTAAACTAAAATTAAAAAATTAAATTAAACTAAAAATAAAAAAATATATAAAAAACAATAAAATAAAATTTTTAAATATCTTGCATATAGTATGATAAATCTTATTACATTAAGATAGAAGTTACGTATTTGCTTAAATAAAACTATCAAACAAATGAAAATGATTCGTCATGATTATTCAGCAAAAATTTCTACAAAATTTCTGTAATACCATTAAAAATTACCATTTATATAATTTTATATAATCTTAAAATATTATTTATTAAAATATTAGTAATATTTTATTCAAAAAAGATTATATAAAAAATATATTTATTACATAAATTGATAAAGGAAGAATATCGTTTATCTTTACGCAATTATACACATATAATTATTAGTCGCGGAAAGCTTTTTCCAGGAAATACCATGAACTTGCAATAAATTAAGGCAATAATTATATCATGACATTTATTGTACTGTTATCAATTCCAAACTCAGATTTTACGTGATATCAACATAGATTGCGATTTTACATTTTCATAATTTTTACTTCTACAAAGAAAAGAGAAATTATAAATGGTGCTGAATCAGTAAACTTAACATTATAGTTTTAAATTCCATTCGATACATGCGGATGTGTATACACTGTCATAAAACAAGCTATTGCGAAGGTAAACGAACCGTCGTATTCTACCACATTGAAAGTTTTAACAAATTTATCTATGATCTAAATGAGAAGATTCGCATTGCATACATCATCATGCATTATATAAAAATATATTCAAATTACAACTTTAAAAAGTTTATAATGAATATTTTCACTTCATAATTAATAATCTTTAATTATTATCATACAATTATTTTAATGTATATTTTTAAATATATTATACTTTTAAAAAATATTATTATATTATAAATAACATATATAAATAATGTTTATAAATAAATAACATAAAATAATGTTTATAAATAATGATATAACAAAAATATTAATATTAAAAAAATTAAATATGAAACTTTATAATTGAAACACAATTGTTATGCAATAAAAAATCTCTTCAAATTATTATCAGGAATTAATTTAAAAAATGTATATTAAAAAAATTACAAGAGAATTTTTTCATAATAATAATTTTTCAATCACCATTGTTTAAAAATAATAAATTTTTATATTATAAATTATACATCGTTCTTCAATGGATGTAAGTTCCTTCTAGTTGTGTAACGTAGTCAGGCTAATGGTCGCATTAAACGATGCCACGCGAAATTGTTATTAAGACAGAGAAGCTGAGAACGGGTCAATTGTATACGGCACGTGATGTGTACTGTTCAATATATCACGATTCTTTTCAATTTGACTTAATGCATATTGCCATGAGTAATTCATAACATTTTATTTTTGTGGAAAGTAATTTCCAATTTCTATTATACAATTTCACATAAATCGTATAATTTTTATCAAATAGTAACTTATCTTAAATTTATTAAAATTTTTTTCAATTATTAAAATCATTTTCTTATGTTTTTTCAAAGCATTGTAATTGTACTATTCTGTAAATAGTCTAACAGAGATATTTTCAGCCTAAGGGACAAGAATGTCTCAATCTGGCATGCAAAGTGGTTTCAATGTTAACACAGCAGTATTTCACATATACGCTTATTATGATTTGAAAAAGAATTTTGAATAAAGCTAATCGAATGAAATATACATACATATATAAACATTTGATAAATATGTATTTTTACTTACTTTCTGTATTTGTATCATTCGTTTTCTACTTAACAAAAGAATATTATCGATGAATGTTACATTCTATAAATTGGATTTATTTTCTTACGAGTAATGTCGTTAAACGCTTCGATAAATCGAAACGATAAGTACGCCTGCCTTCTTAGTACAAAGCCTGAACCGCTACTGAATACAGATCTTGTCTCTTTCCTTTTCCTTTGGTTGCTTCTTCGTTCTGTGACGTATACTAATATATAGCTACTATTTAACTATCAATATAACTGATTTCTATGTATTTTTGATAATACATACGATTTTCTATACTATTTTCTAATAATTTTTATATAACGCTATATATATTAGAAATTCAATAAATAAAAAATTATAATATTTTCTTTATAAATAATTATTTATAAGCTTAAATATTAGTTTTCTATACTTTTTGATCTTGTTCAAAAAGTTTTTAACATTTTTTATTTGGATATTAACGTACATTAAAAAATTAATTCACAATTACATTTTTTATAATTTTTTGTTAAAAATTTATAGTAAAAAGAAACATAAATAGTTAAAACAAAAATTACAAAAATATACACATGTATAAAAATGATACTTAACCTAATCAAAGTCTATATATAAATGTTATATATCTTCATATAATAAAGTCTATGTATATTTAATAAAATTTTTATAAAAATTAATTCAATAAGTTTAAGAATGAAATCAGTTTATTTTATTTTCAAAACAATGTCATAGGCTACTTACAAAAATAATGCTATGATTACAATTTCTTAATATTTAATGCAATAAATGCTGATACGATATGTATTATCTTAATGCCATGAAATGTTTGTATCTATGTACACATTTGTATATACTTATTTTTTTTTTAAATATTTTGTAGAGTAAGAATTTAGGCCTTATATAAATATTGTCATTTTGTTAGGTTTTCACTTATTCTATTTAGCATTTCATTTCACGACCTTTTAGATGTCGTACAATAATTTTACAATTACGAAACAATTCTGATCTCCTCTTGTAAAATCAAGAGAATTAGAAATTTTACTATGTTTTAATGGTGCATAATACGCACACGCATACTTTACACACATTAGCAGACCTAACATTGGTCAAATGAAAATCGGATGAGAAAAATTTTTTCTTGGAATGCATTCATCTTAGAATAATATTAAAGATTAGTCCTTATTTTTCCTTGTATATTAGATATATAAATAAACAAGTGTTCAATTGCACTACTCCATTAAAGCAATGTTAATTAATTACTGTTCATATTTTATGATTATTTTTGATATTTATATGGAGTAACGAATATCATGGCAAAATACTCAAATTTAAATGCGTTCAGTCATAAAATTGTCAAAATACGAATTATTACAAAAAGGACTAAAACCATAATTTGTCTATACTGATAAAAAAATTACGAAGGGTCCCTTTGAGAACGTGAAAATACCTCCGAAATAATTAAACTGTTTGCATGATTTGTAAGATGTTTCATTTGGATGTTGCAATATAAACATCTAGCAAAAATTCGATATATTTCTATAAAATAAAATAAAAATAAAATAACTAATTAGTTGTATTTGTTATTTGCCAAATATAAAGGCATTATTTTTACTAAAAAAAAAAAAAAAAAAAAAAAAAAAAAAAAAAAAAAAAAAAAAAAAAAA